TTCATGTTATTTTCCATACGCGACTCGCGTTGCGTTTGTCATCGTCGTCGTCGTCGTAGGCTCGTTGCCTGCTCGAGATATCGTGCCTTTGCGCTTGAACTGGAACGTTTTTGGGAGTTGATGGAGTGAGCAAAGCAAACAAACAAGTCCAGAATAAAAAAAAAAATGCGAACAGATAAGATAAGGGAGTTCGCGGTGCTACACTAATTTGAACTCGCGACGCAGGCCTGGGCAAGTCACGTTCGACGACGGCGGACGACGGTGCGGTTGGATTTGTGGTTTATTTGTATGCTACCCTTGACATTTTTCCCGATGCTCACCCGACGTGTGTTTTTGACTTAGATTCGCGCCAATTTTTAGATTAGCTTGTGTCGTAGAAGGAATGCTGATTAGAATATGAATGGCGGAATGAATGGAATGGTTATAGATAATGCAATTGATCGTGGAGCAAATCCACACCCAACCGGGAAATGTAAGATACTATTGCAGATTTGCATGAAAATTATATAGAATTTGCAATGTTGCGCTGCATGAACAGACTCTGAATGGTGGTCGCCGGAAAGCTTTGTTTTCCCAAATGCATTGCGTCCAAGAAAATCATTTCGTGATGATTTTATGTAAATATATGCATTCTGGAAAAACTTGCTTGTACGCTGCAGTACATTGCAAAAACCTGCTTTAAGGTTCAATTTACTTTGATGCATTTTCGAAAAATTCAAAAGCAGTTTTTTTCGACGCATTCTTTCAGATTGCTACTGCTCTTGAATTTTTCGAAAAAGCATCAAAGAAAATTGAACCTTAACATTCCGTTGGTTGTAAGAGACATTGTTTTGCGTGAAATTTTGCATAACTGTGCACTATTGGCGTTGACGGCGACTCTGTAGCTCTTTACTCCAATGAGGAAATCCATAAGCAAACGTCAGACTGTGCGTGAAAATGGCGGACTTTGTACTATCCATTCACTCCTCCGAAAATTCTCTTAAGAAACTGTCTATAATTGCTGGAAGAGAAAATTTTTCGACGGTGCCGTCAACGCCAATAGACAATGAACTAAAGTTTGTGTTGAAATTCGACCATTTTAACTATCATGCCAGCACCATATTTTGATGGAGTATGATGAGTACCTCGCTACTACCGATACCTTGCTACCAAAGGGAACTACGGAGAAAATGAATTTAACTACCTTTGTTTCTATGCACGTTGAGTGCTATCTTTTTTCTCTCTTTTGCACACTTGTACTTTGACACAAATAAACACGTTTCGCTTGAGTTCGGTCGCGTCTTTATTCCGCTTAGAGAAAAACCTTTGCTATCCGTTTTTACTCCGGTTCCGCCTATCTGCTGGTTGTCTGTCCTTCAGGTTATGGGCCCAGGCATCCGGGAGTGTGAAGTAGTGAAGTGTTTCGGTGGAGTTGTGGTTTTCCGGGAAGTTTCTGAGTAGGCTTTTCGAAGAGATTTGTTGCGGCGCGATACCTATTGCGAAAGTGTAAATACAAAATGGCCGACGGCTTGAAGGCATCGTTTGCCAAGCTCGGCAATGGAAATTAAGCCTCGTGGAAGTTCCGCATGCGATCTTTGCTGGAACGAGAGGATTTGTGGGATACGATCGGTCAACCGATGCCGGAGGAGATCGATGAAGAATTTCCGCAGTGGAAGAAGAACGATATCAAAGCGAGAGCGACCATCGCTCTGTTCGTTGAGGACAGTCAACTCCGCTTGGTGAAGAAATGTGAAACGGCTCATCAGATGTGGGAAAATTTGCGAGTGTATCATGAGAAGGCCACCATCGGTAACCAGGCAATGTTGTTGCAGCAGTTATGCTCGAAGAATTTGTGCGAGGGCGGTGACGTCGAGAGGCATCTTGAAGAAATTGAGTGTTTGTATGAGCGCCTCGACAATCCGGGGGTGGAGCTCAGTGAGCTGTTGCGCATAATTATGATTTCGTGACGTCGTTAGAGAATCGACCGCAGGAAGATCTCACGATGGATCTAGTGGTAGCTCGGTTGCGTGACGAGTACCAAAAGCATGCGGGTCCCAGTGGACGTGGTGACAACAGTGAGAAAGCGCTGCGGGTTGCCGACAGAGAAAAGCGTGAAAAGAAGTGTTTCTATTGTTCGAAGCCGGGACATTTTCAGAGAAACTGCCGTAAATTTCTCGCGGAAAAGGTGGTAAAAATGCAAGTGAAAATCGTAAGCCGACGGGATCCAACCAGGCTGTTAAGCCGAAAGCAAAACAAGCCCAAGCGGAGGGCGGCGGTGGTGATCGTTCGAAGCAAGCGGTCACGGATGATGTTGTCTGTGGGGCCGTGTGCTTTATGGCCGGTGACGTTATTCGTGGAGCGTGGACGATCGACAGTGGCTGCACGTGCCACATGACCAACGACCGTGAGTTTTTCGTGGATTTTAAACGCGGAGCCGTCGTGGATGTGACCCTGGCGGATGGAACGAAAATAAAATCGGCCGGAGTAGGAAGTGGCGTAGTTATGGGCGTGAATGCCAAGGGTGAACGCGTTGCAATTACTCTCGAGAATGTGTTGTTGGTTCCCTCGTTGGAAGGCGGGTTGATCTCTGTCCGGAAACCCGCAACGAAAGGCCTCACAGTAGTTTTTGGGGCAACAGGTTGCTCAATCAAAACGGCTGATGATACCATCCTAGCCGTAGGCGAGCTGGTCGGCTGCCAGTACAAGTTAAAGCTGGCAGAACAGTGTTTGTCGGTTGCGGGAAATCATGGTGTGAACTGCCAGCATACGTGGCATAGGCAAATGGGTCATCGCGACATTAGGATTTGGCCAGCGGAATCAAACTGACAGATTGCGGAGAACGGTTGGTGTGTGAGTGCTGCCTGAGGGGTAAGTTGGTACGAAAGCCCTTTCCACAGGTTCAAGACCGGAAGTCGAAGCGGCCGCTCGACATCATACACACCGATCTCTGCGGGCCCATGGAAAACCCTACGCCAAGCGGGAACAAGTATTTCATCACCCTAATCGACGATTTCAGTCGGTTTTGCGTAGTGTTCCTGCTGAAGTCGAAGGACGAAGCTGCCGACAAGATTATGGAATATGTTCGGTGGGTGGAAAATATCTTCGATGGGAAGCCTTGTGTACTACGTTCTGATGGAGGAGGAGAATATGTAGGCGAGAGGCTGAAGCAGTTCTGCAGATCGGAGGGCATACAGCAGCAGTTCTCGACTCCCTACTCACCGCAGTCAAATGGAGTAGCCGAGAGAAAGAACAGGTCCCTCCAAGAAATGGCCTGCTGTATGTTATTAGATGCCAACCTTCCTAAGCTCTATTGGGGAGAAGCGATTCTCACGGCCACGTTCATCCAGAACCGGCTTCCATCCAGAGCAGTTGAGAGGACGCCATTCGAGTTGTGGACAGGCAACAAACCGAACTTGACAGATCTCCGAATCTTTAGATGTGAAGCGTATGTTCGTATACCAGACGCCAAGCGCAAGAAATTTGATCCTCGATCGAAGAAGCTTGTGTTAGTGGGCTATTCCGGCTGCCACAAAGGTTTTCGCTTTCTTGATGTCGAAACCAATCGCATAGTCTTTAGTCGAGATGCTGAGTTCCTGGAGCTCCCAAAAGGATCCGGGCTGCGAGAGGAGGCAAGCGCGCTTCCGGATATGCAGCAAGAGGAGCGGCGTGTTCCAGATGATCCAGTGATGGAGAGTGAAGAAAACCCAGTGGTAGTGTTTGAACACAGTGAACATAAAAAGACGCAGGAAGAAGAGCGTCAGTCGGTGTATGAAGACGCAGAAGACACAATTGATAGTGACTTTCCTGGCTTTGAAGAACAGAATGATGAACCGGAAGTGCCAGATGGAGCAGTGATGAACCGCCAACATCGGCGTACGCGTGGTGTGTTACCAAACAGGTATTTATGAGGACTTTATTGTTGGACAAGTGCTACATGGCGAAGAACCCAGTGACTTTCGTGATGCATTGAGTGTACCTGTTTGGCAACGTGCTATGCGGGAAGCGATCGAAGCACACAAAGTGAACAGTACGTGGGAACTATCGGATCTGCCGCCGGGCAAGAAGGCCATTGGTGCGAAATGGGTATTCAAGATAAAGCGGGATGAGACGGGCAGCATAGTGAAGCATAAGGCCCGTATCGTCGCACAGGGATACTCACAGTGTTTCGGCGTGGATTTCACGGAGGTGTATGCACCAGTCACGCGGCAGGCTACGTTGCGTGCGCTGCTCGCCGTTGCAGGGAAGAAGCAGCTGTTCCTGAAGCAGTACGACGTTCGAACGGCCTACGTCAACGGCACCATCGAAGAAGAGCTGTATATGCAGCAACCTCCACGCTTTGCGGTTCCAGGGCACGAGCAAAAGGTATGTAGGCTTCGTAAAAGTATATACGGGCTGCGCCAGTCCGCTAGATGCTGGAATAAAGCATAACACTCTGTACTCCTTGAGCTAAACTTCAAGCCAAGCGCCGCAGACCCATGTCTCTACATACGATACGAGAAACCGTTTGTCGTCATTTTAGTCTACGTTGACGACTTGTTGATTGGCAGCGCAAGCGAATCCGATATAGCCAAGGTATATGAGAGTCTCCGGAAGAAATTCGACGTTACTTCGCTAGGCTCCGTGCGTCATTTCTTGGGCTATGAGATAGGGAGAGAGGGATGCTTCTACACGTTAAAGTTGTCAGCGTACATCGACACATTGCTGTGTAAGTACGGCATGGAGAACTGGGTATACGTCAGCTATCGAAGACAGTAAGAGGTTTGTAGCTTCAAGAGTCAAGTGGACTGTAAAACCGAAAGGCTCAGCGTTTGCAGAAATAAAGAAAAACACATCCGCGCGCGTGAGCTTCTTAACTAAGACTAATTTATTTCCTTTCTCTTTACATTGGATGAAACTTTAGGGAGGCAACAGTGAAGTTAGGTGTGAAGGCATTAGATATGAAAACACGGTAAAAGTTGGATAGTGGGAAAAACCGATAATTGTTCCGTTGTACATCCTCCCGCCCGTTGAAATGCTGCATTTCAAACTTCCGGAATAGTTTCGGGATTAGCCGCATCTTCTTCATCTAGCGGCAACAAGCACACATTCTTCACCGCTCGTTTGATGATCGAATCCTTCGTCTTCATTGTAACCACTCGCACGTGGCCATCCTTGCCCGGATGCAACTCCGTGATACGCGCAAGACTCCACTGAAGTGGAGGTAGATTATCGTCCACGATCAACACTAATGCTCCAATCTTGAACTTGGTGATCTTGAAATCCCGTTGACGCCGTTGAAGCTCCTGGAGATAATCTGTCGACCAAGTCCGCCAATACTTTTGCCTCAAGTCCTGAAGAACCAGCCATCTAGACAACCTGCCAACCTTGACGTTTTCGTACGATGGTTCTGCCAAAGCCTGAAACTCCCGGCCGATCAAAAAATGTGCCGGAGTAATAGCTGTCATATCGTTTGGGTCGTCCGATGATGGAATCAATGGGCGCGAGTTCAACGTTGCTTCAATTTGCGCCAATGTCGTTGACAATTCTTCATATGAAAGTTTGTGATCGGCCAGAATCGGCCGGAGGTGAAATTTGGCGGATTTCACCCCAGCTTCCCATATCCCTCCGAAGTGCGGACTACGGGGAGGTATAAAAGACCAATCGATGTTTCGCTGAACGCAAAATTCATTCAGCCTCTTCTGATGCATTTCCGTTTCGAACAGCTTGGCAAGCTTCGCAAGTTCGTTATTTGCACCAACGAAGTTGGTGCCATTATCTGAGATAATCTTTGACGGTAGACCCCTTCTGCTCACAAAGCGTTGAAGCGCTGCCAAGAACGCATCGGTTGAAAGACTTGAAACTGCTTCCAAATGTATAGCCCGCGTAGCCATACACACAAAGACGCACACGTACCCTTTGGTCATCACACCTTTCCTAACAGAAACCGCAGCCTTCAGTGTGAACGGACCGGCGAAATCCACTCCGACGTTGGCGAATGGATACGTTGCTTGTACTCTGTATTCTGGCAAATCTCCCATCAACTGCGTCGCTCTCTTCGGGTTTGCTCGATAGCAAGGTGTGCACTTATGGATCACGTTTCGAATAACAGTCTTGGCTCTAAGAGGCCAATATTGTTGCCTCACAACAGCAAGCAATGCACGCTGACCAATATGCATGTTGCTCTTATGGAGATATCGGACAATGGCAATCGTCACTGGATGGTTTGCAGGCAGAAGTAACTGATGTTTACTGCCGTAAGGAATCTGAGCGTTTCTAATCCGTCCTCCCACTCGAAGTATGTCATCCTTCTCATCGATGAAAGGGTTCAAGCATTTCAACGGGTACTTGAAGTCCTTTTCCTCCGTCAACGCTCTTATTTCCTTTTCGAAACCTTCCCGTTGAACTAAACGCACAATTAGCAGCACTGCACGTTTCATCTCATCCGCTGTCAACAACCCTTTGGTAAGTTGCCTTCTTCCACTTCTGATGAAATCCGTAAAACGAATAACGTAGGCCATGGCTCGTTGCATAATCGAAAATCGACTGATATTATCAAATATTTTCAGTCTGATGCAGATAGTCAAGTTGAGAAGAACGATTCCCCGCACTTCCGGGATAATCTCTTCCGGAACCGGAGGAGGAGTGTCGATTTTGAACTTTACCTGCTTCAAGAATTCTGGCCCTGTCCACCAAATTTCTTGACTCTGCAATTGGTTCGGTTGGACACCTCTTGAAATCAGGTCTGCCGGGTTCGATTTCGACGGAATGTATCGCCAATCATATCCGTTCGTCAGCAATTGGATTTCCTTCACCCGGTTTCCAACGAAAATCTTCAGCGTTTCTGGAAATTTCTTGATCCAACAAAGCGTTATCTGGGAGTCGCTCCACAAAACCACGGATGAAAAGTTTATTTCCATGGCATCTATCAACTTCACAGTGAGACGAGATAGCAGAAGAGCTGCCTGTAATTCTCCTCGCGGTGTCGTAACTTCTTTTTGTGTTCCTTTTTTCTTCGGCAAGATTCTCGATTTACTGCATATCAATTTCATTTCAGCTCTACCGTCATTGAACACTGATCGTGTGTAGAGACAAGCCCCGTATGCAAGATCGGATGCGTCGGAAAATCCGTGTAATTCTACAGCAATACAACCTTGCGTCAGCACGTAACGTGGAATCTCCAATCCGTTCAACTTCTGCAAATTGATCCGAAATTCCGTCCAGAGCACCACCAATTCTTGCGGTAGGATGTCATCCCAATGAAATTCAAGAAGCCACAGCCCTCTCATAATCAGCTTTGCCGCAGTAAGCACTGGTCCAAGGAAACCCAGCGGGTCAAAGATCTTGGAAATCTCGCTCAAAATTACCCGCTTTGTCAGCTGCACCGACGTTGATGACTCCGGAATATGGAAAGTGAATAAATCACTACTTGGGTCCCACACGATTCCAAGAGTTTTCATCAGACAATTGACAGTCGCATCATCAATCGTCACCAATTTTTCACGCCTTTCTTCGGGAACCATTTCCAACAGTTCCTTCGAATTCGAACACACCTTGTGTATGCCGAACCCACCGTCGTGCAGCATGCTGGTAATCTGCCTCAGTAGCTCCATAGCTTCCTCGAGCGTATTCGCACCAGCAAGCATATCATCGATGTAGAAAGATTTTTTCACAGCCGCCGCTGCAAGGGGGAAACGCTCTTCTTCTTCATTAGCAAGTTGCCTCAGTGCCATCGTAGCCAAGAACGGTGAAGATGCAAGCCCATACGTCACTGTCTTCAACGTATAGACTTTCAGAGGTTTATCACGGTTAATTCTCCAAAAAATTCGCAGAAAATCTTCGTCCATCCAAACCTGCCTGTACATTTTCGGGACATCTGCACTCACAGCGTACTGAAACGTTCGAAATTTCAGGTGAATGGAGACCAAATCGTTCTGTACTGTCGGACCAACCATTTGAGTTTGGTTGATAGACACTCCGGAAGACGATTCCGCTGAACCATCAAATACCACCCGCAGTTTAGTTGTGGTACTAGTTGGCTTCAAAACACAATGATGGGGAACGTAGAAAGCTTCAGTCGAATCTTCGGTCGATGAGGGCGTAATTTCAACCATGTGACCCATTTCTTCATATTCGCTCATAAAAGCAACGTATTGCTCTTTCAGGTTCGGATCCTTATCCAGTCTTCGTTCGACAGCCAAAAATCTTTTCCTGGCCATGCTTTCAGAATCGCCCAACTGCTCCTTCGCCTCGTTGAATGGCAGCCGAACGAAAAATCTTCCGTGGTCATCTCGTCGGTATGTCTCGAGAAAATGAGCGACGCAAGCATCTTCTGAAGAATTCTCTCGAACCGTCGTTTCGTCATAGGAATCGAAATGCCAAAAACGTTCAAGTAACTTACCGATATTATCCTCAGTTACCATCGTACATAGCGAACCACCAACGCCTAGTTGGTTAGTTGGAATCAGACCACTCACAATCCAACCAAGGGATGTCTCCTGCACTGCTGGCAAGTTATCAGCCAAGTTTAACTGACCGTGCTTGATCAACTTGAAGAAAAGACCAGATCCAATCAGAACGTCTATCTGACCGGGAACGTTGAATCCGGGATCGGCAAGCTCGATTTTTTCTGGAATCTTCAACTGGGTTACCTCGAAGCGCTGCATCGGAAGCTCGCCCGTAATCTTTTTGACCACCAGGAACTCCAAAAATGGTGACTCATATTCACTTACTTTTGATTTGATTCTTGCGTGTACCTTGAACTGAATGGCCATCTGATTACCACCAATCCCAAGAATCGTGTAGTTAGCTCGCTTCTGTTTCAATCCGAGTTTCGAAACCAATCCTTCCGTGATAAAGTGCTTATGCGAAGCAGAATCTAGCACTGCTCTGCACTGCATAACTTGCTTTCCCGTTCCGCGAATCAAAGCAAGTGCTGTTGCCAGCAGCGTATCTTGATCAGCGTCTACGTTTGAGCAAAGAACTGATCCGTTGTTGACTGGCACCGAAGATGTGCTAGCCGCATTCGCCGTCGAGCTATCTAGCCTAGGAACACCACTTATCTGCTGCGGTGAGGGTTCCACAGACTCAGAATCAGCTGGATGTAGGGACGTATGATGTCGTTTTCCGCACCGTTTACATGAATGTTCTGATTTGCACTTTCCTGTTATATGGCCCCGTTCCAAACAATTGAAACAGGAACCACTCTTCCGAAGGGAAGTGTACCTTTCGCTTAGGCTCACTTTTTTAAACGCATCACACTTCCATATTTCGTGATCACCATTACAGTACGAACACTTTGCACTAGTAGTAACAAGGCTGTGCACTTTCGAATCCATCTTTCCCACAGGACGCACTATCTTCACAACCTCCGATGGAGCCTTGCTACTACGGCTGATCTTCTCATACACTTTACACCTTTCTTTGAGAAACTCCATCGTTGATTTATAATCCGCCAGTTCTTTGTCCTTCTGGTTCAACGCCCACGCTTTCTGGGTATCAATGTCGAATTTCTTGGACAGCACATTCAGCAGCATCATCTCGCCCAATCCGTTGACTGGTAACTGTAGGTTTCTAAGAGCATCGACGTTCTTCGAACATGTGTCGATTAGTTTTCGTAGACCGGTCGTGCTCTCCTTCATCATCGCAGGCAAGTTGAACATTGCATCGATATGCTTGTCAACAATGGCCTGCTTGTTCTCGTAGCGCTCACGCAACGTCGCCCAGGCAGCATCGTAGTCATTGTTGTTTATGATGTCCTGGTCGATCACGCCAGCAGCTGCACCAACCAACGAATTTCGCAAATGGTACAACTTTATCGCCGCTGATTCCGTCGGGTAATGAGCCATTACGTTCTCGAACATATTCTTGAACGCAAACCAATTTTCAAAATTGCCGTCAAAAGTAGGCAATGGAGTCTTCAACGGAGGAACGGAGGGCAAGTTGTTCACGGGTTGCACTACTGCCGGCACCATCATGTTTTTTGCTGCAGCATCAATGCGTTTCGTAATCTGCACAAAAAGTCCACTATACAGCTTTTCAAACTCGATGAATCTCATCTCTTCTCCATAACGCACTTCTTCACTGGGGTTTAGGTCGTATATGCGATTTTGTAGGTCGTTGTACTCAGTGTAAGCACTGTCCAACATTTTCATTTGCAGCTGAAGATAATGCATATCTTCCGCGTTTGGATGCTGCAACGCGATCTGGATGCGACGAACTTTTCTGTCCACTGTATCCTTTTTTTTCACCAGTACAGTCATGTCTTCATTCTTCTTTTTTCGCAGCTCTACTTGCTGCTGACGACGTTTCTGTTCACTCACGGGGATAACAGGCTGTGGTTCGTCTTCCTCTCCACTTTCGTTTTCCCTTTCACTCTCGTTTTCCGAGTTCCTCGGATCATCCTTGTCTTTCTTGGGTGAATGCATGATCGGCGCCATTTTGCTTTCAGCAAATCAACTTCACAATGGCGGTCACTCCGAAAATCAATCAAACGAATACGCCGATCCTGTGGCGTTCTTTTCCCGTTCAAAATCTTTTTTCACTTCACGAATTCGCGATTTCCACGCTAGGAAATGCGATCAGTTCAATTTCTTCCGATTAACTACACATCCGGCTCGAAGGACCAAAAAATGTAGCTTCAAGAGTCAAGTGGACTGTAAAACCGAAAGGCTCAGCGTTTGCAGAAATAAAGAAAAACACATCCGCGCGCGTGAGCTTCTTAACTAAGACTAATTTATTTCCTTTCTCTTTACATTGGATGAAACTTTAGGGAGGCAACAGTGAAGTTAGGTGTGAAGGCATTAGATATGAAAACACGGTAAAAGTTGGATAGTGGGCAAAACCGATAATTGTTCCGTTGTACAAGGTTCGATGATCCGACGCTGTACCGGAGCCTCGTAGGAGCGTTGTTATACTTGGCCGTGAACGCACGACCAGATCTGTCTTTGAGCGACGGATTGCTTGGGAGAAAAGTCGCCGAGCCCAACAACATGGATTGGGGTGCAGCAAAACGCGTGCTGCAGTATTTTAGCACAACGAATGACTGGCGATTGAAATTCGGACCAGGTGAAGGATGGCGTCTCAAGGGCTTCTCCGATTCTGATTGGGCCGGAGATCGCCGGCAAGAAGATCTACGACCGGGTTTATCTTTTTCTATGGAAGCGGCCCGATAAGCTGGGTGAGCAAGGGTTAAAGTTCTGTGGCTCTTTCATCCCTCGAAGCCGAGTACAATGCTCTATAGCCAGGAAACCATTTGGCTAAGGCGGCTATTATCAGAGCTGGGAGTACCCGAAGGACAACCAACGGTCATTTTCGAGGACAACCAAGGGTGTCTCAGCTTTGCGACCTCGGAGAGAACTAGCGGTCGTGTTAAACACATTGACACCAAGAAGCACTACATACGGGAGCTGTATGAACAGAAAGTTGTCAAATTGGTGTACTGCCCGACCAACGAAATGGTCGCTGATGCACTAACCAAGCCGTTGGAACCAACAGCAATGCAGAAGTTCATCGATCAAGTTGGACTGAAACCCTAGACTCGGTGTTCATCCAGGAGGAGTGATGGAGTATGATGAGCACCTCGCTACTACCGATACCTTGCTACCAAAGGGAACTACGGAGAAAATGAATTTAACTATCTTTGTTTCTATGCACGTTGAGTGCTATCTTTTTTCTCTCTTTTGCACACTTGTACTTTGACACAAATAAACACGTTTCGCTTGAGTTCGGTCGCGTCTTTATTCCGCTTAGAGAAAAACCTTTGCTATCCGTTTTTACTCCGGTTCCGCCTATCTGCTGGTTGTCCGTCCTTCATATTTGACGTGCTACCAATAATGATGCACTCGTCTATTTTTGATCGCATCTCGATTTTGACGCGATATTTTTTAACAACTTTGCTACACTTAGAGGTGTGCGCCGCTACGCAACGCCGACGCCGCCGACATTTTTTGGGCCACGCCGCCGGCAAAACAATTTTATCGGCGCGTCGATTGCTCAGAAATCGTCACACCGACGGTCAATTTTTTACAGTGCAGACGGCTCTTAGGATGGCGTTTTATTTTTTTTATACCTTACATACAAACCTTGATGTATCACTTTTGATGAATCAGGGGGGTTTTGGAAACTGTGACAATTTTTATGGAGTTTTTCGTCATCACCGATTGTTTAACTCTTTTTTGCTACTAATACCATAAAATACCCTTTTGTGTCACAGCTGTATATACCTTATTGGACTTGACAATCGGGTAGCGATTTCGAGCCAATTTGCTGTCGAATCCGAGCCAGTTTTTGATTGGTCGATTTAGTAGTAGCAATCGTGGAATTAAAAGGACAGAGGGATCGCATCAATCTGACTGGCAGGGATGCCGGAATCAATGTTGACGTCAATGGCGTTGTTAATTGTTTATATTTACGAAAGTTGAGTTGAACAATTGACTGCACTGTGTGTTTTAAGCGATGGATATTGTTGTTTGTTTATGGTTGTTTTTTATTGTGTTGTAAACAATATTTTACATTCCTGGCATCATTGGTCAACTCCGTCAAACACCAATATAACCGAGGGGGGCGACAATCTGCTTTTTTCGATCAGTGTACTTTATTCAGAATAGGCATCCTACTGTTCGCTGCATCAGGTTGCATCTACTTTTTCGATGCTGTAAAAGATGCAGAAGATATACTTAGTTTTTGACTTAGATTTCAGAATAAGAAATGAGAAAAATACATTCGAATATGCACAGAAAAATGTTCGGGTTTTTTTAATCTTTCCGTAAATTTAACTGTTTTAGGTGATGAGTGTTGTTCTATTACATTTCGTATTATACTGTGTGTGGTGCCCTTTACTCTGGGCAACAAGCATACTACATGACTATGATCTTATAAGCCAGACTACCTGTAACGAGAGAGTGACTATGGTTAAGAGAGTGTAGGAGAGGTAGCGAGCCTAAGAACAGAAGGACAATAAACGTTTCGTAAATTGTTAAGATCAAGTGTTGATTATTCAAACAATTACTCACCCGGAAGTACCCTGAGGATTCCACAAGTGGCGACCGTGGATGTGGATTTGTAAATTGGTAAGAACTTTAGTTTTCATCAACTAGAAAAAAAAAACGAAATGGCTGTCCAAGGGCTGCTGTTTTTAGCGCATTGCAAAATAAAAGTGAGGTTAGTTGTGTGCATTTAGAAAAAAATGAATGAAAAATGACTTGTCGATTACAGACAAGTTTTGGTCAAACATTATTGTGCAGTTCGAATATTTATCGCAAAAGAAGGTTTTGCGATAATCTCACACTCCTAAGCAATTGAAAAATGTAGCTGGTGTACGACACAGTTAATAGGTCCAAGAGACTGAAAGTTAAAGCTGGTGCACGGCACAGCAGAGGTCCTCGAGACTGGAAGTTGCAGCTGATGCATGGCATAGCTAATAGGTCTAAGAGACTGGAAACTTAAGCTGGTGCACGGATTAGCAAAGGTCCTTGAGACTGGAAGTTGAGGCAGGTGCACGGCACGGCCAGTAGGTCCAAGAGACTGGAAGTTAAAGCGGGTGCACGGCACAGCAAAAGGTCTTAGAGACTGGAAATTATGGCAGATGTAAGGCGTTAAACACAGATAAACAGGTCATAGAGACTAAATGATGAGACTGGTGCATGGCACAACAAGTATGTCTTAGAGACTGACATAAATAGTTAGTGCAACAGCTTTAAGCTAAAACGTACAACGTTTTTGTGAAACACGAACAATAAATTTTAAATGTAAAACTGACGTTAAAATGATTTGTATTGTTAGGAACATCGTTACGTCTAGTAAACAAGGTCGTTGAATCGAAAAGACACTTGGTGAGACAGCGAGACTGAGGTAAAATTTCATTGTTTGAATGAGAAATGGAACCCTGAGAAATCTTCTAAACTTTTACAGTACCCCAAGCATTCATTGAGGCTACAATGGATAAATGGGATCTTCCTGCATTCAGGTTAAAACTGATCCCACCAAACGAGATCAGAGATGAGTGGGTGCGTTACAAAAGGCAGTTTGAATACTTAGCTCTGGCCAACGGCGTAACGAATAAAACTCGCCTTTAGCACATTTTTCTTGCACGGGCAGACCCGGATGTTCAAGATGTATTCAACAGCATCCCTGGAGTAGATGTTGAGGAAAGGATTGGAGTTGACCCATTCAAGGTAGCAATAGGCAAACTGGACGAGTACTTTGCGCCGAAACAGCATGAAGCCTACCAAAGATTCGTGTTCTGGTCATTGACGCCGAAGGACAAAGAAGAACCATTGGATAAGTTTCTTTTACGTGCAATGAAGTATGCTGGTAAATGCAACTACGAGGATTCTGAACCACGCGTGATATGCTATGCCAGCAAAAGTCTGAGTCCAACTGAAAGGAGATACTGCCAGACCGAAAAAGAAGCTCTTGAAAGATTTTCGACCTACCTGCTGGGGAGGAAATTTGAACTCGAAACGGACCATAAGCCTCTCGAGACAATATTCTCGCCCACTTCTCGACCCTGTGCGCGCATTGAGAGGTGGGTACTACGTTTACAAGCGTTTACCTTCGTTGTGAAATACCACAATGGATCAGGAAATGTCACTGATCCGTTTTCGCGACTGGCAGTCGAAAGCATCTCTCGAGATTTTGATTGTGACAGCCAATTCCTGGTTTTGGCTATTATGGAATCAGCAGCAATAGATACGAGCGAGTTAGAGAAAGCTTCAATTGACGATCATGAGCATCGTCCGTGAGTGGATACTGGTACGTGGATCTAAAAACAGAATGCTAGTTTTAGCGCATGAAGGTCACCCGGGAGAGACCGTGATGAAGCGTAGACTGAGGGACCGTGTCTGGTGGCCGAAGATGGACCGTGAAGTTGGGGCATACGTGACAGCTTGCGAAGGATGTAGATTAGTAGGACTACCGAGTAAACCAGAACCGATGCAACGTAGAGAGCTGCCAATTAAACCGTGGATTGACGTAGCTTTAGATTTTCTGGGACCACTTCCGTCTGGAGACTATCTTCTCGTTGTGATCGACTATTATAGTCGCTACAAGAGATCGAGATAATGAGGCACATTACCGCAGAGGAAACCATTTCACGACTACACAAAATCTTTACTCGGCTTGGATTTCCAGTCACGCTCACTTTAGATAATGCCAGACAATTCATCAGCTCATCATTTGAAAAGTATTGCCAACGGAATGGAATTCATTTGAACTATTCCACCCCCTACTGGCCACAGGAAAATGGTTTAGTGGAGCGTCAAAACCGCTCCCTGTTGAAGCGTCTACAAATTAGCCACGCACTTGGCCGTGATTGGAAGACTGATTTGCAAGAATATTTGTTAATGTATTATACATCACCACACTCCGTAACAGGAAAAACTCCAACTGAACTTTGTTTTGGCCGGACAATCAGATCTAAAATTCCATCACTTACCGA